TGTTGCTGTACCCAACTGATTATACATGTGCAAATTAAGCCAAGAAAAAAGAAGAAAAGAAACCAGTAAGATGTCACATGACTGAGCAGGTGATCTCACCTGGACCACCTGCCATGGGAAATCCTGCTTCCATCCTAACTGAATTTCCAGAGCCCATAGGTCCATTCATTCTCACATCTTGGTTTCGGTTCTGTGCCAAGGCCAGGTTGATAGCACCTTCTCCTGAAAATGACAAATTATAAAAATAATCACAATTAGAAAAACCCAGACACATTTCGTTCAAAGATAAGTACACAAGACTCTTAGTTTCCTTTTTATAAAGAATTACATTAACTTTACCACCACAAACAGTATTGAGTTCAAGAACACATGGGTCTTTCTTCAAGCCCATTTGGGCAGGTTACTTATGTGAAGCACGAAGAAACACACTGTAATATACGGACAATCATAAATGATTCTTAGCATTCGTAGAGAGCTTGGAGCTCTGAATATTGATTTTCAATTAGTTCCCAATTTCCCACTCTCCAACTCAAGGAGGCAGAGTAAGGGGGAGTAGGAGAACTCTTGAAAAAAGACTACAATCTTAACTTTCCTTTTGTAAATTTATGATTTTATGGTAGAAGTATAAGAAAGCTTGATGGAGAAAAAACATGATGGTATGGTCCTAATTGCAGGAATACAAAACACCAGTTTCCTTTCAATAACTATAGCAGATCTCAGCACAGAAACTCATGCAAAGACAAGTAATGGACTGCTTCTAATTTAGTTCTAAGACACCTATCGGAAAGACCAATATTGATAACGGATTTTTAAAAAATTTGTTTACAAAATTTGTTTACAAAATTTAATCTATTTGAACCTCATAGTAGCCTATTACACAATCACTAGAAATGTTATAGTCAAGCAGGTACTACACTTTAAAGCAATTGAAATTCTCCTTGGTATAATGACAAAAGTATTTCTGAAGCAAGTTCTAGAATGAGTCTTAAACTTAATTCAAAGTTTTTACTATTAT